CTTCTGGTTGTATGTTTTGATCTTCTTTGTCACCAAAGTAACATAATATAGTCTGACTCTTTTTGCACTGCTTACTGACGATCCCAACCAATTACTTGAGTTTTAAACTCTTTGTTAAGGTAAGAGTCTGCTTCCAATATGGAGAATGTACTGTCCCAAGGTTCGGGGGTTTGTACAGCTGTTTTCAGAGATACTTCTAGGGACCTGAAAAGTGTCAGTTCTTCCAAGGTGGTATGATAAGGGGCAAGGTGTTTCCTCTCCACCGCCACAACAAGCTCTACCACACCAGCGCTCCTCCTCACCCCAGGAATGCCCCTCAGAACTGTGACCCAGATCCAAGCACTGGTAAAGCAAGAGATTCTTGCCTCAGCACTGGCAAAGAGATCCTTGCAATCCCTCTCTGATCAGCCACTGGATTCCCCCTCAGTCTGTGGGCCGGAAGATCAGAAGGCAGCCGCTGCCCTCGGGGCGGCTGAGACCTTGCTCCTTCTCTCCCACAGTCACAGACTTTTCCCACTGACCTTCTAAGTTGTCTTTCCCATTGGTGGGTTAAGAAGTCTGGAAACCACCACAGCTGCCAGAGATTCAGTCTTCTGAGGCCTGCTCCACGACTGTTTCACCTGCAAGCCCATGCTGAACTGTGCTCCTCTCCCAGCCCGGAGCGATATACCTTTCCCATCAGCCATCCAGGTTGTCTTGGGCTGGAAATTTGTTTCACTCTGTTTTTTTTTTATGGGTTCTGCTGCTTTAGAATTTGTTTAGAGCCATTTTTTATAGGTATTTGGAGGGGTTTGGGGGAGAGTTCAAGCAAGTCACTGCTTTCCCTCCACCATCTTGGCTCTGCCCCCATTCTTTCACTTTTGAAAGAAGGGTCATGGTGTAAAAGAATGTATGTGCACCAGTGGTTCTCCAAGTGGGGTCTGGGAACTTTGGAAGGCATATACTAAGGTGTTTTCATTTCTAATACAGAAAATGCTGAGGGCTATAACCATCATAAATAAAAGCTCTGGGGGGAGGGGTTGTGAGCCTCTATAAATTTAAGAAAGTAAAGTAAGAACAAAAAGTTTTAGAACAGCTCAGCGGTTTAACGCTGCCTAAGAAAACACTGATGAGAACACCTCCTTCCCTCGGTGAATCCCCCGGGGGCGCTTAGGTAATTCAGTGCCCACTCGGTGCCGGGAGCTGTGGGGGGGCTGGGGACCCCAGGAGGAGCACAGGACGGGTCCTGCCCTCGGGGAGCTCCCCGTCTAACAGGGGCAGCTTACGGCTCTTCCGCGTTTAGGGGAGCGGCGGCTGAGGCGCCCCTCCGCCCTCCCTACCTCGCAATGCGCTCCAGGCCAGCAGGGGCGAGACCTCTCCCCGGGCCATGCCCCGGGCGCCCCGCCGGCGAGGATGCCCTTTGCCCCCGGGCTGGGACATCCTCCCACCACCGCCCAGCAGCCAAAAGGCTAAATTTAGCAGCGGCAGAGGCAGAGGCGAAGGCTCGGAGCCCGGGCTTCTGGCACTGGGAAAGGAGGCCAAAGTTCACGGTCACGACCCAGGCTCCTCCGGAGCAGGGTCTCCCTGCTGCATGGGGCAGCTCGCCCACCCGCTCCATTCCAGCCGCAGCGAGACGGTCCGAGCCGCTCGGGGACCCGCAGCTGGAGCAGCAGCTGGTACCGACGCGGCGGAGACGGCGGGGCAGAGATCGGGCCCCCCAGCTCCCCACGCCCAGGGGTCACCCACGGCCCGGCGGAGATGGGGGCGCAGTCCCGGGCAGTGCCCACTTCCCAGGCGGCGCTACCCGCTAGCAAAGCGAGCCCCGCAACTTCTTTAATCCCACGAGGGCTCCGTTCCCCGCTCCCTCCCCGTCCCCCTGCCCCCAGCCGCCTTGGCCGGACACTCGCCTAGTACTGGGGGCGACGGGGAGCAGAGGCTGGGTGGTCAGGCGGCTCCACCCGCGCAGGGTCCTGCAGAGCAGCCGGGAGGCCACGGCCATGGTCCAGGAGCGGAGATCTCAGGCGGAGCCCACCCCTGCATTGACTTTGGCTTTTATGAAGTCAGTGCCTGGGCGGGGTGCGAACCGAGGCTCCACCTATTGACCGACGGCGACGGGTCGGAAGTCTGCGTACCCCGCCCCCCCAAGCCCCAATCATTAGAGGAAAAAGCCAATCTGAGCCCGAAACCACCGAGAGAGCCGCGATCCCCGCTCTGCAAGGCCAGCGCCCCGGGTCTCGGCCTGTCTCCAAAAACATTGTTGCCATGCAGCAGTAAAGTCAGAAAGCGTTATTCTTGCTTAGCTGAGTTAACCTAGGGATACAAAGTGAGGTCAACAACAGTATTTATTTATTGAACACCTGCTAAGTGCCAAAGCACAGTCCCTGCTTTCCCACTTCCCCACTTTCTTGTTTGTAACTCCATTGCTTAGCACAGTGCCTGACACAAAGCTAGTAAATATTTATTGACTGACCGCTAACTCTGGGCCCTTCTAGCTTTACATCTATGATCTCATACCTTTGTGGGTAGTTAGAGATGGGTTGGAAAGGATATTCAGATATTTATTTAGAGTTTATTTAACTTTTCCTTGGTCATTTTACTACCAACCAAAATTCCATGAAAAGTTCATGTTCTAATGGGGGTGGGGTGGGAGACAACGGGTAAATACGTATGTACAAGTCATAGATAGTGTAGATGGAGGGCAATCTGTGGGAAAGGCCTCCAGCAGAAGGGATTTGAGCTGAATTTTGAAGAAAATCAGGGTAATATAGGAGGCAGAGGTCAGTCAGCAAACATTTATTAAGAGCCTTTGATGGTTGAGGGGAGAAAGCATTCCGGGGATGGTGGACAGCTAGTGGCAAGTGCTGTGGAAATGAAGAGTCCTCTGTGAGGAACAGAAAGCCAGTGTCTCTGGATCATGGTGGAGGAGAATAAAGTAAGAAGACTGGAAAAACTGGAAGAAGCCAGGCTGCCAAAGGATTTAAATTTCCAAAGATTTTATTGCTAGTTTTGGCGTAAGAGATAGACATTGAAATTTAGAGTGGTCAAACCTGTACTTTAGAAAAATCCCTTGAGCGGATGAGGGGACCATAGCTTGGAGGAGGGAGAGACTTGTGACAGAGAGACCAGTTTGAAGACTATTACTATAATTGTCCAGGTATGAGGTGATAAGGGCCTGTGTAGCAGTGATGGTTTGTGTGAGTGATGAGAAGGGGGATTGTAGAAGTGTTTTGAAGGTAAAAAACCAGAGAAGAAGCAGTCAATAGAATGAGAACCAAGTGAGAACAGTCATGAAAATCTAGAGAGGAGAGAGTATTCAGGAGAAGAAGGTGATGAACAGTGGTATAGAGAGGACAAGTAGGTTGAAGATTGCCCCCTACTAAGTGCAAGGCACCGTGGCTACAAAGACAAAAATGAAAAACAGGATATAGAGAACAGGGGTTGGGGGGTGGGGACAATATATACAAAATAATTTTGAGGCATGCAGAGAAGGGGATAGATGTGATGATGTTAGGGAATAGAATTGGTGAGATTTGGCAATGATGGAATGTGGAGTGTGAGAGAGAGTCAGAGATGCTTAGTCTTTATCTGTGAATGCCTTCATCTGTGTCCTTTGCCCCTGGGGCCCCTCTGATTGTGTGGGGGAACCAAGAGCTCCCCACTAAACCTCCATTTAAATAGGGTAGCCAGGACAGTCATCTCTACATTTCCCACCAGGCTGCATCCTTTGGGCTTCTGTATCATGCCCCATATCTGGGTACTTCTTCTACCCTCCTTCTCCTTTTCATCTTCCTTTTGTGTGTGTGTGTTGCCTTCCACCATCAGACTATAAGCTTTTTTTTTGTGATTAGACAATGGGGTTAAGTGACTTGCTCACGATCACATGTCTAGTTAGTGTTATGTGTCTGAGGTTGGATTTGAACTCAAGTCCTCCTGAATCCAGGGCCGGTGCTCTATTCACCTAGCTGCCCCCAGATTATAAGCTTCTTGAGGATAGAGACTACCTTTCTTTTTCTTCTTTGTATCTCCATTGCTTAGCACAGTGCCTCACACAAAGCTAATAAATGTTTATTGACTGACTGCTAACTCTGGACCCTTCTAGCTTTAGATCTATGATCTCATACCTTTGTGGGTAATTAGAGATGGGCTGGAAAAGGATATTCAGATATTTATTTAGACTGTATTTAACTTTTCCTTGGTCATTTTACCCAACCAAAATTCCATGAAAAATCCTGTTGAGCTAAAATAACTCTCTGAACAATTTCAACATTCACCAGGTCAGCTCTATGCTGTACCTACTCTTCAGGACGTTATGTCCATTTTAATTAATTAAACTCAGCACAAACTTGAAGCTCAATTAAATGCAACATGAAATGTATAGAAGTACTTTTAATACTAGAGAAAAAAAGCCATGAAATCTTAATAAAGGTAAAAGGGAGATAGTAAGCTCTTACTATTGGAATTGCTTACACCAATGGCTCCAAACAGCAGGAAGATAAAGCTAACTTCTTTCCTTAAACAGGGGTAATATAAGGTCCTCATTTTTTGCTGTGTGTGTGTTCTCTGTTTCCAGCAACAGCCAATTAAAAAGCAGCAGGAAGCAGAGAAAAGAAAGCACAGAAATGGCAACAGACATTTAAGGAAGTTTTTTTAAAAAAGTTATTATTGCTAATAATAATATTAGCTCACACTTATATAGCAATTTACAAATATCTCATTTTATCCTCACCACACCCCCGAAGTTAGGTCCTATTCTTCCTGTTTTACAGATGAGGAGGCTGGTTTTGAACTTAAGTTTTCCTGACTTCAGGCAGAGCACTCTTCACTGTGCCATTTGCCTGTCTCATTGGGATAAGAAAAGAATAGCAAGACACCCCTAAAGACTGGAATTGGCATGCCTGTAGAGCTATGAACTCCACTTGGAGAAATGTTTGGTGTATGTAGAATACCTTGTTTACATGAAAAAAACCTGCAGCCTACCTGTGAAGGCTTACACTGTGTCTTTAAGTAATTCACATAAAATTTCTAAGCCAAAAGGACAGTGGAGAAAATCTAGGAGATATTGGAAAGAAATATACCAGTGAAAAGGGAATTTGCTACAGAAGATCTACCTTTTAGAAATCTGCTAGGACAGGAGAAGACCTCTGAATAGATAATTACAACTCAAGGAGTTGTAGTTGGATTTGAAATTTGTGATGATTTTCAAACTTAATTTCACAGATACTGGCATCTTTATGGATTTAGAAAAGTAGTTAGAACACATTGAGCAAGCTTGAGATTTGAGAAATTTAAAATTTAGATTTTTGTTAGGTTTGATAAATTAATTGGTGACAATTTTTTTTATCCATGGCATATTTGATCTACATTTAGAATAGTAATTGCTGGAGAATGGTATCATTATACCTTTGTAACTGTGAGATTAAAAGTGATAACTACTCTGTATTGATCTCATTATGAAATTCACACAGAATGCCAGCATTGGAAGATAACATGCATGGAATTTTCCTCACTATATTGGTGATTTGAAGATGCATTTAAATGATCTAATATTCTTAAATTGATGACAATCTATTTTATTTTGTGTTTTATTTTTGCCTTTGTTTTATTTTTTTACTTTTAGAATTATTTATTTTTCATTTTTAAAAAATTTTTTGAGTTCCAAGTTCTCTCTCTCTCTCTCTTCAACCCTTCCCCCATCCACTGAGAAGTTAAGGAATATGATATGTTATATATGTGAAATCATGCAAAACAGTTCCATATTAGCCATACTGAAAAAAAAAACAAGAAAAATAAAATGAGAAAAGTATGCTTCATTTTGTACTCAGATTACATCAGTTCTCTCTCTGGAGGTAGATAGCATTTTGTATAATGAGTTCTTTGGAATTGTCTTGGATGGGGAACTTCCTGGGAGCCAACATGGTGGAGTAAGGAGTAAATTGCCATAGTTCTCCCATCTTCACCTCCAACAACGATAAAATTATGCCCCAAAACAAATCCTGGAACAACAGAACCAGCCAAAAGACATCCAAAACAATCTTTGAGCCTGAGAAATTTGGAAGATCAACAGGAGAGGTCTGTCTCACTCAGGTAAAAGAGGAGCTCAATCTAGGACAGGAAGAATTCCACCAAGCTAGCAGCAAGCCCCACCTCAACAAGCCAGCTGTAGATCCTGAACCCCAGTAAAGTGGAGCAGGCAAACACCAACACCAGGACCCCCAATATACCTCAGCATAGCCAGGGGAATGGCAGATTCCAGCTCTGAGAATCACTAAGTACTTCAGCGTAGCCCTGGACAAACAGGTAACCTTTAGCAGCCAGATCTTCAGACCAGGTAAACGTGCTGATATCTAAGCAAACAGGTAGCCCCAAGCCCACGAAAATGGGCAGACAGGGCCTCAGCACACCACAGGCACCAGCACTAGGACCCAGGTCAGCACCAGGTAAACTACCAGACCTCTATGGCCTCCAGAAGTGCCACCACCCCCTCAGCACAGCAACAGGCATGAGGGTCCCCCATGGGCCTCACAGCAACATCAGTGTAGCACCAGGTAAAGAGCCATCACCTGCAGCCTTTGGCACAAGAAGCCTGAGACAATGCCCCTTCCACCCTGGGAGCAGAGCTCAAATTTAAGAAAGGAAAAAAGCCAAAAAGGATGAGCAAAAAAACAACAATAAAAAAGAATCTAACCATAGAAAGTTATTATGGTGACATGGAAGATAAAGACACAACTCAGAAGAGGACAACAATGTCAAAACACCTATGGGCAAAGCCCCAAAGAAAAGTGGAAAGTGGTCTCAACCCCAGAAAGAACTCATGGAAGAGCCCAAAAAGAAGCTTAAAAATCATATAAGAGAGGTAGAAGAAAAAATGGAAAAAGAAATGAGAGTGATGTAAGAAAATTATGAAAAAAAGAGTCAACAGCTTGGAAAAAGAAAACAACTACTTAAAAAGTAGAACTGGACAAACAGAAAAGGAGATACAAAAATCCACTAAAGAAAACAACTCTTTAAAAAGTACAAATGGCCAAATAGAAAAGTATAGATGCTAATTGAGG